TTAAAGCAAAAAACTTAACTCTCCCTCAGGTCTTACGCCTGAGCAAAATAACGCTCAGGTCCCCTGATGTGGCTGTCTGGTATGCAAATGCCTGCAGCCTCCGGAGCAAATGGGGGGGGGGCCAAAGACCAGGACAGCAGAAGCCGATGTCATTGCTGTCACTGAGACTTGGCTCAAGAGTGAAGATATTGTTCTGGGTCTGCAATAGTATACCGAATAGGATAGAGTAGACGGGAGGCAAGGAGGTGGAGTCCTCTTAGGTGTGCGAACTACCTATCACCAATGAGAGTAGCCACTGCAGTTGGCTACTCCCATTATTCAGGTTACTGCTTGCCACTTAAGGGTTGGATCGGGACCTATAGGCATTGTCGGCGTTTATAGGGCATCAAACTCAACGGTGACTGAGGCTAATGAATTGATGCGTACACTACAAGAGGTGCTTCGAAGGGCCCATAGGTTTCTCATCGCGGGTGATCTGAACCCTCCTGGAATAGCATGGGAAGAGGAACGACCTTCTAGAGGAACTACGGGGAGGGCACTACTGGAGTGGATCCATTCGCATGCGCTTGTGCAGCAAGTAACGGAACCGACTCGTTTGCGTTTCAGCCAGAGGTCCCCAATCCTTGACTTATCTATTTTTCGAGCAAGGTCAGATGTCTTTAGTCTCAGGATAGAGGTCCCCCTAGGCAGAAGCGACCACGCGGTCCTTCAGCTAAATGTACTGGCACAGTTCACTGAGCCAGAGATCAAAATGGTTCCCTTGTATGCGAATGTTCAAAAAGAGAGTCTTCGATAGGCAGCGTTAGGTTTATGCTGGGAACTGTCAACAGCTGATCCTACCATCGAAGTGAGATGGGCTGCAATTAAAGGTAGTTTACTGAGGCTCACCGAAGAGTTTACACCTCTGAGGCCTAGGAGACTCAAACAACGGCCACCCTGGTGGAAACCATGTTTAGACAGGGCTCTGGACACAAGGAGTCGAAAGTGGGCGCTTTACAAACTGCTCAGTTCGTATCAGGCGTGATGTAGCTACAAGGCAGCAAGAAACCATGCGCAGGCTATGCAGTTAAGGGCCAGGTACGACTATGAGCATGGGATTGCAATAAAAGCAAAACAGAACGCAAAGAGGTTCTATGCTTATGTCCAATCTCAAAAGTCATTAAGAGAGGGGATTGGAACGTTAGAAAGCACTGATGGACGTCTTGCCCTAAGCCAGAGTGACAAGGCAAATACCCTTCTGACCTTCTTTAAGGGAGTGTAAAGACAACCAGCACGGTTGGTTATGGCAGATTATCCCAATGCGACATCACAG